TCAGTCTCACATTTAAGAGGGTTCTGCCTGCCTTGGTTACCTTCAAACAGCTCACTGTAGGTTGATCATATTTAGGCTGCTTCTTAACAGAAGCAAAGAGTTCATAGCATTGCATGTGATGACATCTTGTCAGGCTATAAGCAATCTCAAAACATAACTTGCATTTATCCTTCTATCTTGCTCATGGCAGCATAAAAAAGCCTGCCTTCTCAAATGCACAGATGTGCTCAATGTACAGTTTCCAACTTATGCTTGCTCTCTATAATGTATATTTAAGAAGAGCTCAGGACTTTTTAAAATAAAATATACATGGCAATGATATTTTCTAAATCATGAAAGACTACTTGAAAACAAACTGTCTTAATTACTATAATTAAAGTACACTTTATTCTGAAAAAAAATTCAAAATCTTTAAGCAAATTTATAATGTATAGAGTGCATTCTTGCTAATATGGAGACATGAAAGAAAAAAAGAAAAAAGATCTATTCAAAGCCTCTGGCCAAAGTTAAAATTGTAAATAATTTTAAGCCTACTAACAATGTATTTAAATTTCTTACAAAACCATAACTCTTCTTTCCTTAAAAATATGTTCTCCAGTAGAATACTTAACTAGAAAACAGATCATTGAACAAATCACATCTTAAAAATGATCTTTCAATGTAAAATATTTTCCCATATATCCAAGGAGATCAAAAATCTGTAACATGGGACCCAAAAACAGAATGTTAGGCACCCAAGATAAAAGCACAAAATATGAGAGGATAGATCACCTAATCTAAGAGCCAAAAGTTTACAATAACGTAAGAGAACACCTATACAAACATTTATAAAATTTTAAAAAAGAAATGCAAGTCATAGAATTTAAAAAAAAAATTGAAATGAAATGTATGGGCCGGGCGTGGTGGCTCACGCCTGTAATCCTAGCTCTCTGGGAGGCCGAGGCGGGCAGATTGTTTGAGCTCAGGAGTTCGAAACCAGCCTGAGCAAGAGCGAGACCCCGTCTCTACTAAAAATAGAAAGAAATTAATTGGACAACTAAAAAAAATATATAGAAAAAAATTAGCCGGGCATGGTGGCACGTGCCTGTAGTCCCAGCTACTCGGGAGGCTGAGGCAGGAGGATCGCTTGAGCCCAGGAGTTTGAGGTTGCTGTGAGCTAGGATTACAACACGGCACTCACTCTAGCCTGGGCAAAAGAGTGAGACTCTGTCTCAAAAAAAAAAAAAAAAAAGATTTCAAATGTTTCAAACAAATAGAAAAGTGTAGAAAATAAAACAATAAACAGTATAACCACCCAACTTTATCACATTGCAGTGATTATATTTGTCCCCCTTCTTAGTCCTATTCCCTTCCTTCCCCCAAAACAACTACTTTCTAGAATTTATTTTTAAGCTCATTGTCTTTGGAGTATTTGATCCTTAAGCTGGGATTTCTCTTCATTGTTAGTAAATTCTTTATGGCTCACCTTATAGCAAATGAGAAAGGGATATTTTGGAAGCCACTCAGAAAGGGGCATGTGTGTGCGAGAGGAGGCAGCCAGGGGTAGGCAGAGGCGCCCCGCCCTGCTGCTGCGCCGTGAGTGTGAGCACGAGAGAGCGTGCGACTGGGTGTCGGCATAATCCGTTTGCTATAAAAGAGGATACTTGCAGGTATAAATTCAGAGAGAGCTGTGCCGAGGTTTTCTAGACTTGAGTAAGTCAGAAATCTGAATGAAGAAATGTATGTGGAGATCCAGCTGGGGGAACAAAAATGCTCTGTCACTTGTATGTGCTTACTGTGTCAGGCACTATTATGAGCACTTTACTGGATGTTAATTTATGTAATCCTCATCCCAACCAATGTGGTAAGTGTCAGTATTATCCTCATTTGACAGATAAGGAAACAGGCACAAAAAGGTTAAGTGACTTGTTTATGGTTACACAGCTATGCTGAGTCAGGATTTGTACTCAGGGAACGTGGCTTCAAACACAGCTGGTTAACTGCCCTCTACTGCACCCAGCCATCAGCCACTGCCCGCTACATCAGACGTCTTCCTGCTCTTGGATACCGCATGCAGACGTCCTGATAAAGCTGGGTGCTCAGCCACATCTGAGCTCATCTGGGCTCCTCCCCTATTTTTTTTTTTTTTGCTTGTATACACTTTGTGGTTTATTTGGTGGTCAGTAAGTAATGTCTTTGCTACTAAGTGGAAGAAAGCTAATAGAACGTAATCACAATAGTGGTTTAATAGACAAATTTTACTTGTTCCTGGCCTACTTATAGTTTATGGGGGTGCAAACCTTGCTCCACTGCCCCTGGCCCTCATTACTGCTGGGTGCTCGCTTTCCCCACCTCAGCTCCGGAGACGTGATGGTCTTTGGCCCTGGAGGTCTCGGCCAGCCGGTCCTCCATCCTGTCCTCGTTCTCCGGCACCACCAGCAGTCGGTGCTGGGTTTTGGCCCCCAGCTTGTGCTCAGGCCGGTGGTCGGGCCTCGAGCCCGACCGGGTATCCAGCTTGTACTCGGCCCGGTACTTGCCCTTCCCCTCCCTCTCGAAGGAGGCAGAAGACATGGCCTTGGGCTCGGGGGGCTGCAGCCACAAGTGGCTGAGGATCTCATCGATGTGCAGCCACCGGCTGACGTCGGGCTGGAGCATGCGGTAGATGAGGTCCTTGCACTCGCCTGTCAGGTTCTTGGAGAGCGGGAAGTCCACGCGATGCTCCTTCTGGATGCGCAGCATCTTCTTGATGTTAGAGTCATTGTAGGGCATGGAGCCACAGACCATTAGGTAGAGGATTACGCCCAGGCTCCAGATGTCGTACACCTTGGGCTGGTAGGGGATGCCCTGCAACACCTCGGGGGCCGCGTACACCAGCGACCCGCAGAAGGTCTTGCTGAGGATGATGCAGCCGCTGCCGTCCCGCAGGCAGCATTTGGAGAAGCCGAAGTCGGACAGCTTGATGTTGAGGTCCTTGTCGAGAAGAAGGTTCTCGCACTTCAGGTCGCGGTGGACGACATCCATGTCGTGGCAGTATTTGACGGCCAAGGAGAGCTGGCGGAACATCTTGCGCGCCATGTCCTCGTGCAGGGCTCCCCGGCACTTGATGAATTCGAGGAGGTCGCCCTGGACGCCAAGCTCCATGACAATGTAGATCCGCCCGTCAGATGTCTCGAAGATCTCGTAGGTCTTGATGATCGAGCGGTGGTTGGCGGTTGCCAGGATGTCCATCTCCCGCAGAAGGAATCTCTCTACAAAGTCAGTGGGCGTTTTCTTGCAGTCAATGATCTTGACTGCCACATTGAACTTGAGGCGCTCAGAGTAGGCAGATTTGACTTTTGCATAGGAGCCTTTGCCAAGATTGATGCCCACAATGTAACCCTTCTTCCTTAGGACCGTGGCATCGTCAATGGTGCCAGGAGCGGCCAGCATCGATCATCCTCATTCACACTGCAGGCAGGCGTGTGTGGGGCTGGGCCTGGACTTGCAGGGGTCGAACGCTCAGCATTGTCTCTGGGTGACTTCAGCGAATGAAGTCATAAAGCCAGGCTGCTGGGAGTGGGGACTGGGCTGGGGGGAACAGGGCCCCTGGAAGCCAGAAGGAAACTGGCATTGGGGACTGTGGTAACCCTCCCTGCTCTTCTTGCTGGCTCTGGCCTCCCTGTCACGTCAGGCCTGAAGGGAGGTGGCCCACATCTGGCCAGACTGCCAGCCCCAAGCCTGTTTCCTTCCCCTGGTCTTGGGGGCTGACCCTTTGTTGGGTCCGTTTCCTGCAGCTTCTTTGGGGTGTGCAGGGAAGCCCCTCTAGGGCTCGTGTGCTTGGGACCAGCAGTGCCTGCCTGGGAGGTTCAGCCTTGGCCCAGGCTAGCGGTGGTGCCAAGCCTGGTGGACGAAAGCAGCTCAGTGTTTGGAGCAGGAACTGGCAGGTCCGTAGGGTGGAGAACTGGGCAGGCGAGTCACTGCTGCTCTAGTGAACAGGGGCGTGCGTGTAGGTGGCAGGACATAGTCAGGGATGCAGTACATACCGGCTGGGTGCCTGGGGTCCAGGACAGGAAGGTGCATGTTCCCAGGGGTGGGACGGGGCTTCCCTCAGGTGGAGGATGAGGTGAGGCATTCAGGCAGGAGAGAGCCCGAGAGGTGAGAGGAAGACTCTTCTGAGAACAGCCGAGGAGTACAAGTCAGCAGGGAAGTGGAGGAGAATGTTGCGGCGTTTTCTGTGACAGGGCAGCCATCGCAAGGTGCAGGACAGGAGGAGATAGGATCCAAGTTGTGTTTTAAGATGGTCCCTGGCAGAGAAGAGAATCAGCTTTGGGGTGAGACGGGGGCCGGTGCCTTCGAGCAGGTGAGAGGCGGCCGGGCCAGGGCCGCCTCCGGGGAGCAGAGGGAGGCGATGAAGGGCGAGCCTGGGTCTGGGGCGCCGGTGAGTGAGAGGCAAGCCCTTGGTGCTGGGGAAGGGTGGGGGCAGCTCCCAGGCCATCAGAGCAAGCGCCTGGGTGGGGAGGAATCCCGGATCGCACCACATTGGCCCTCTGCGGGGAGCGGGCAGCAGTCCTGTCAGGACCTGGCACGGCACCTTCCTTGCCTCTTCACGCTGCCTTTTGCATCTGGAAACAACACGAACGTCCTTTTCGGGTCCTGTGTGGATTTTTGCTTTGGAAAAGGTGGCGTCCTAGACACGTCTCCTTCGGAACTTGGGAAGCCCTGATGTTCACTTGCCGTCCCGCATGGGAATCTGGGCCCACAGAGAGCTGCCAGGACAGGCAGCTGTGTGCTCCGTGTTCAGGGGGAGTGGGAGGAAGATCTGTGTCGACGAGGGGGGTGGTCATGGAAGATTTCAAAGAGGATGTGATGTTGGAGCCAGGCGCGGAGGATCAGCAGGCTGCCCGGGTTGACAAGAGGGGCAGGACTTGCGATACATCTTGCCTGGAGTGCACAGGGCATGCCCTGTGTCTGGAAGGTTCTGGGGAAGATTGCAGGAGCAGGGCCGCCAAAGTCAGGGTGCCTGGCTGAGAGGCTTAGGGTGGGCCCATGGCGACAGCCTCCCCAAGTCCCATCTGAGCTCTTTACGGCATCCATGGTTAATAGTTTTAGTTCGATGCATTCCTTTCTCCTGGGCACTGTCCTTTGTGTCCTAGCAGGCTGCCCTCTTGATATGTACGAAGCTGCTCCATGAAGCCAGAATTTGGACATATGGAAGGCCTTGCATTTTTCACCAAAGAAAAAGCACTGGTAAATGAGGTTTCTTCAGAATTCATCAGGAAGCCTATTACAATTGCAGCAGCCCTGGAAATTCCTGCATTACAATGAACAAGAACCACTCCATCCTGCAATAAAATCAAACAAAAATCTTCATTATTCGTTTGAGAAAGCTTATTAAATCAATTGAACATTCTTGTACTACTTAAAATTATAAAGTAAATATTCAATTTTAGCTATTTGATTCAATTTATTTGATTATTAAAATGCAATTCATTGCAAGCAATATATGGAAAATCAATCAGTTAATCAATCAATAGATCAATCTACACCTTCCCTCCCCATGCCCTTAGGATTAAAATGTTTTGATGATGTGTTTGGAATTCTGAAACAGTATCTTTTATCAAACTAAAGTAATCCAGTAAAGTACACATGAAAGCCTAATAACTTAGCAGCCAAATGTATATAAATAAGAGAAAAAAATCACAGGTAATATACATGGAAACAAAAATAAAACCATTATCATAAACTAAACAGAAAGCTAGAGGTATTCCAGGTACATATAGTGTTCCCATAAAGCAATTAATGTCACTGGCTTGGAAATCTATGTGTAAAATGATCAGCAAGGAAAGTTTTCTACCTTTGGACATATTTTATTCTGGAAGGAAGTAACTTAAAAATATTTAAATTAATGAGGTAGTGAAATGATGACACAAATAGCTCATAATAAGGTGAAGTGGAAAAGGTAATCAGACACCAGCATGAGGTCAGTAAATGAAAAAAACATTTCAGGTAACTTGCAAATGATACTATCCAAGTGAAAAGGTACACAGTGCGACACCAGTGCTGATGGGGGCAATATGGCATTAATAATGAACGTGATAGATCTGCTGGAACAGCACTGATACAGGTTGGCTTATCTTAGGCTTTTAAAAAGTTAATGGTCTAAACAAAATGTAGTGAACTGTGAGCACATCCTACAGAATTAGACATTGTATTAATAGTTACTTTGTTTTCTAATTCTTCATTTGGTATAACACACCAAAACAGGTGGGAACAGGGCAAGGAAAATAAACATACTACTGAAAACCTATTACCCAAAGCACTCATTAAAAATATTATTATTATGACTCATTGGATTATTTTACTGCTGCAAAGCAGTTGTCTCAGATTCATATACCTGTTGCAAAATTCCTTCCCTCAATCTGTTGAAACATCTCTTTTCAAGACAGCCAAATGACCAACAACAAAATTAGTTAATACTTTGAAAATCATATCAAAAAAGACAATTTCAGTTGCATGCTTATAGATATTTATGACTCATTTCCAAATCTTAACTGTTTTTGCAAAAGAAAAACAAAACACAAATATTCACTATATATGTCAGTAACTTCTCACTTTGTAGTGATAGCTCATTTTTATGAAACTTAAGATGTTTAAAAATTATATTGTAGTCACTGATGAAAATTATTAATGAACTTCATTTAGCTCAAAACAAATTCATTAGATATTCCAAAAAAGCTTGCAATCATAAGCTTAATAAGCAAGGGAGGTCCTTCAATGTCATTTTTAATGTTTCCTGGTTATATAATGATCATCTTTATTTTATTATCCATACATATGACTTTGAAAATGAGACCAGTTTTATATTCAGTCTTATATACTGTGCATCCAACTTTAGCTAATGTTTTAAAATTTAATATTTTCTTCTTGCTACTTTCCTTATATAATAGCCACTTTTCTACAGCTTTTGAATTTTATCTACTTTCGACCTTTTTATTATTCCTTAGGTATCATATTGTCCTTGAAAGTGTTTCCAGAAAAATTATTGGCTTTATATCCCTTTTCCAGAACTCAAAATAGTGCCAAATAATCTATAAAGCATTTTTTTCCTTTCCACTTGCTGTTATCCTGTGCTTGGAACACCTTTGTTCTTCTTGATCAGCTAACTCTGACTTCTGTTCTAAGAAGACTACCTCTCTCCAAGTGAGATGAAGGCAGGAGGAATGTCTTAGCCATCTTTGTGCAATTCTTGGCACACAGTAGGTATTTCCACAAATGTTTGCTAAGTGAATAAATTAATTTGTTCTACATTTCTAAGAGGAAAATATTCTCTCAAAAATTCAAATCACCATTTTGCTATGAGTGGATAGTAATTATGCTATAAGCAGACAGTAATTATGCTATGTATTTCCATTTTATAGAATTTTCTTTGTTCTCATGTTGTTATGAATAGCTTTTCAACCAGATTGCAAGCTCCTTGAGAGCAGCAATATGTATCCTTCATATTCTCTCAGAATAAATAAAGCCATGAAGAGATCTTTTCTAGAAAAAAAAAAATCAATGAAGAAAATTCAAGAATTCTATTGCTAAAACTGAATATGTATCAGTCTGTAGAATAAAGAGTTTTTAAGACAAGAAAATATTAGCTGAGGTTAGGGTCCCAGTACAAGACATAAGGCTTGAGAAGTTAGAACATATTGTGGAATTAGTACGTCTTATCAGAAACATCTTATGTAATTCCTCAGATTCTCATGGTGCCATCATCTCACGGAACCTCAGCTCGCTCTGCCTCAGCTGCCAATTCTGTGGCCAGCTGCTCCCCTTAGGTCTATTTGGTTTTGCTTGTGTGAGAAGGCTGCCTCTTCTCCTATGGTGCCCACATGCGTAGACAAGCAGACCCTGAGCTCTGGATTCTCTTGCGACTTCTGAATTTGGATGAAAAGTTATACCACAGGACATTGGATTTGGCTTCTAGGTGGCTCCTGAAGGAATAGAATGTTGTAACCTGAAATTGCAGGGTTAGTTACCTCTGTCAGCAAACTTTGACCAATGGCAAACAGGAGCTGACAGAGAGCTAGGCAGATAAATTTTCTCTCTTTCGTGCCTCCCAAGGGCTGTATTGAGGCACGGTTTCTTTGTACTGCCTGTCCAGAGATGTCTTGGGTGGTAGAGCAGCTGTACTTTCTAAGCACCCAGCTATTTCCCTGTCAGTTTATTCAGCAGAGTAAACACATCACCTTGCATTGCTTCTCATCCTACCTTGAATCACTTTCCTTTCTTCTTACTCTCACTGTCTAGAGATTGCACCTCTCAAATTAAGCATCAGCTCTTTTTTTTTTTTTTTTTGAGACAGAGTCTCACTTTGTTGCCCTGGCTAGAGTGAGTGCCATGGCATCAGCCTAGCTCACAGCAACCTCAAACTCCTGGGCTCAAGCAATCCTACTGCCTCAGCCTCCCAAGTAGCTGGGACTACAGGCATGTGCCACCGTGCTTGGCTAATTTTTTCTATATATTTTTAGCTGTCCAATTAATTTCTTTCTATTTTTGGTAGAGACGGGGTCTCGCTCTTGCCCAGGCTGGTCTCGAACTCCTAAGCTCAAACAATCCGCCCGCCTCTCCCAGAGTGCTAGGATTACAGGTGTGAGCCACCGCACCCGGCCCCTAAGCATCAGCTTTTAATCCTTGTCTCAGGCTCTGTTTTTAGGAAACCCAAGCTAAGATTCATTCTAATTAACTATTGGCCCAAATTAAAGCAAAGTTTAATTTTTTAGAATTAAAAAAATTTAAAAAAATTAATTCTAAAGCTTATTAGAATACTCAATTTCTTGCTTTTCTTTCTTTCTAGATACCCTCTCCAATTTTTACTTGCTACATGTACATATCTTCTAATTTTAATAGGAATATGGATGATATCTACACTTTACTATCTACGGCATATTCTACATCTCCTCAGAGAAGCAGCCAATACAGAAACATATCATTTTTATTTATAATACTATTAACCGGTACACTGGAATATAACAATCTAGAGTCTATAAAATTTTTCATAAGAGAACAGAATGGCTAATATTAGGGTTTGAATTAGAAAACCTCTTCCTTTGTTTCCATCTAAATACAGTCATGCATTGCTTAACAATGGGGATATGTTCTGAGAAATGTGTTGTTAGGCAATTTCATTGTTGTGCAAACATCATAGAGTGTACTTATACAAACCTAGATGGTATAGCCTGTTACATACCTAAGCTATATGGCATAGTCTATTGCTCCTAGGTTACAAACCTGTACTGCATGTTACTGTACTAAATATTGTATGCAACTGTAACACAATGATAATCATATATCTAAACATAGAAAAGGTACAGTAAAAATACAGTATTATAATCTTTTGGGACCACTGTTGTATATGTGGTCCATCATTGACCAAAATGTCATTATGCAGCACATAACTGTATCTGCTATTAAATAAAGTTGAACAGTAGAGTTGAATAGTTTCATATTTTCCAGGTAGTCTAGTAGGAAGGCACCTAGAATAGTGCTGGGCATATAAGGCACTCAGTAAATAATACTAAATGAACAAAGGAAGTGAGAGAGGGAGAGAGATAGAGAGAGATGGTACAAAGGAGACCACTAGACCAGAATTCAATTAAACTTGATTCTACTCCTAATGTCGTTGTTAGGGGAGCTACGTCTCTCTGTAAGTGCCTCTTCTTTACCTTCTATTTATCTTATATATATCTCATAAGAATTATTTACTGACTAAAAATGATGTCATTTCAAGGTATACTTATTGATAATAGCCAACCTAGATGCCCTGCCTGTCAGAATGTTGACTTGGATATAATACCAAGATTAAAGTTCTATATTATATGGTCTGTTAGTCTTCTAAAGTCAGAAAACCAATGGACAGTTTCTGAATCAGCATTTTCATGCAATCTCAGGAAAGCAAATGACGCTTAGTCCTTAGAATGCCTAAAATTCTATTGCTAAAAATGCAGATTCGCAATCACTACCTTAGTCATTAAAATGAATGTAAATTGGCCGGGCGCGGTGGCTCACGCCTGTAATCCTAGCACTCTGGGAGGCCGAGGCAGGCGGATTGTTTGAGCTCAGGAGTTGGAGACCAGCCTGAGCAAGAGCGAGACCCCATCTCTACTAAAAAAAAACAATAGAAAGAAATTATCTGGACAACTAAAAATACATAGAGAAAATTAGCCAGGCATGGTGGCGTATGCCTGCAGTCCCAGCTACTCGAGAGGCTGAGGCAGGAGGATCGCTTGAGCCCAGGAGTTTGAGGTTGCTATGAGCTAGGCTAACGCCACGGCACTCACTCTAGCCAGGGCAACAGAGTGAGACTCTGTCTAAAATAAAAAAAAATTAAAAAATGAATGTAAATTAATCATCATAAATATACTAACAAGTCTAGAGTAGTCTGTGTCCTATAGTTCTCCTGATTATCCTGCAATTGGTTGGAGGACAGGCAGCTATAAACCCTCTAAGGAAATCTAACTACATATTTACACAGGAAAATTCAGTAAGTAGAGAATTTTCTCTCTTAACATTTCATAGTAAGGGCTAGGAAGATGAGAAACTGAAATAATGTTAAAAGTAAATCTCTCATTGAGAAAAGAGCAATTAAAAAACTGAATAACTGTAGGATTTAATGCAATACTATTGAAGGGGAAATTTCATAATGGTGGTTTAGAGCTTCATTACAAAAAGAATAAAGATTGGGCAACAGACCCATACTCTCAAATTTCCGCTTTTGAAGAACTGTGGATCAAAACAAAACTTACCATACAATTGTTCTGTGTCAGTTATAAATTTAAAAAAATTTAAAACTTCTCTGACTTCACCACAATAACATATATTAATATAAATATAGAAAAATTGCATCTATACATATATATAAATATATACAAATAAATAAATGGGAAAAATAGAATAAAAAAATAAAATACAGATACAAAAAAACCTTACCTTCATTTTTGCTTGTTCAATAAATTCAAAACATTCTGGAAAATAAGATAGGATATTGGTTTCAGGAAGATCCAATATAGAAATGCTCTTATATGTAAAGTCACTGAGGAAAGCATTTTCTACTCCACATGCAACATTGAGAATATGAGTCACCTTAAAGAGAAAGAAAAAAGATGATTTTTTAAAAAGTCACATGATTTAGGTGATCTAAAAAGAGACTGGGATATTGTTATCTCTAGTAAGAATAATAAAAATTTAAACATGACTCATGTGAATGATACTTCCTCCAGGAAGCCTTCTCTGACTGCCACATCCCACACCAGAAGTGCTCCTTCTTTATATTCTCATAGCCCCCTATACTTGCCCTATTATCACTTGGAGGTTGTCTGTCTCCCTCACTGCACTAGGAACTCCATGAGGGGAGAGAACACATCTAACTCAATATTATAAGTGAGTCAACAGTGAGCGTGGCAGAACCTGTCTAAAATCTTTGCTGAATAAATCAGTGAATGTCCATATTAAAAAAAAAAAAAGGGAGTTTATCAGCAGTACACAACTTCCCTTTCAATAATAATTTCCCTATTTTCCTTCATACTCTTTACTAATGAAACGGTTCTCAAGTTTAAAAGCTTACCTGGTGAGCTTCTAAAAACTAGCAATGCCACTGGGCCTCATACCCAGAGATTGTGATGAATTAGTCTGGACAAAAAGCGAGGGGGAGGAGGAACAGCTGTGAGATTTTCCTTCAGAAAGTACATTTAAGCAATCTCCTCCTACTCCATCGATGTATTTGAGTCCCTTTCCTAGGGTGCAGCAAGCAGGAAGCAAGCCATGTAGAATATCCAGTAAGAGAATCCAAAGGCTAAATGCATCTGAAAAATGAGTCACTGTTTCTTGTCACGACAGTGCTTCTTACTGTATTTATTCTCTTTTCTTAGTGTGAGTCTTAGGTTTTTCTCTACCTTCAGTATTTTCATGTATTTCACACATTTCTAGAGTATTTGTCCCCACCACCTCACAGGTATGGCTCTGGCAGTGCTCCACTCTCCCTCCCCCACACAGCTGAGTAGATTTGGGTGGACAGTTGACTTAAACTAGGCCAATCAGATTATCTTTAGAAACTTTAAAAATAGGTTTAAAAAACAGCTAGAGTAACCTACAAACGTGAGAGCTTTACCACATCCACTTCCTATTATGTGTTCAGAGAAGCAGAACAATTCCTGCTGCAAAGTGAGATGAGTGGATACGTGCACAGAGGACTGTGGGGGCCAGTGGACAGAAGAGAAGGGCTATCTCCTTCCATTCCCTGGCTCCAGTCTCTGGTGAGGCATGGCCACCCCTGCCTTTGGGTCCAGAGATCCCCCTATCTTTATATACATTCTTGTTCCTGGCTCCTGTTGCTCAAATTGGTTTCTGGGGCTCACAACCAAAAGAGTATTGACTGAGACACTCACGGAGCCAAGCCTCAGGAAGAGAGAGCCATCAGCCATTTATGAGCCTACCTGCCTCGTGGAAGAAAGACGAGAAAAGAAACTCAAATGTCTACTTAGAAGAGATTATTAAAAAGAAAGGAGATGGAAGCAACCAGAAAGAAGGGAGAGCATTTTCGGAAGATAAAGTCTGAAACATCCTTATGCTTTCTCCAGTGAAGTGTGGTCTGACTACATCATGTCATTCTCACCCCAGTGATCTTGTAGCCAGGATTATAAGATTCTGCTCTTAATAACACAATATTTTCCAACGTTTTATAATATTGATAATGTTTGCTTTGTCTTTACAGGTTCCAAAAAGATCAGAAATGAGGTCTTACACTTACAGAATTTATACATATATGTGTGTGTACACCATTGCCTTATATATTTTCCCTATATATCACAAGATTATAGAAAAGATCAAATGAGAATCTTGGGGAAACACATTGAAAGGTAAAAGTGCTGTGGAAATACTATGGATTATTAAACTACCCAGTGCCTAGGTAGTTTAGCTGTTGGGAAATGCAGTTTAGATGTTCATTGATTGAATGGTCCTGATTGACAAGAATTTCACTGAGTCATGGGTGGTGGTGGTGATGGGGAACCCAGACTAAAAACCCTTCTGATAATAGAGCATACTTTTAAAACTTAGTTACAGAGCTCCTAACAATGATTGCCCTTGGTTGGGGTGCCTTTCATAATAGGAATAATAAGAATAGCCCCTTTATTGAGTACTTAGTATGTGCCAGGCATACAAGTTATGTCACTTAATCCTCTCATTTAGGCATTATTGCAATAAAATGTTATTTTTTAACTGATTCAAAAATCAAAACATTATAAAAGAAAACATTAAAAAGTCTTGCTCTGTCTCTACTCCATTATCTCCCACCCTAATGATAACTACCTTTGTTGGTTTCTTGCATATTCTTTTAGAATTCCTTCATGCAAATATTCTATTTACTGACTTTCTGACACAAAGGCAAATCCTTGGGTTTTTTCCCTATTAAAATATGTCCTGGAGATCTGTTCATATCAGTATATGGAGACCCTTCTTTGTGTTCTTTTTTATTCTATACAGTATTCTGTGATGTGGGTGCACTATTGCTTATTTAACCAGTTCTGTATTGATGGACAAGTGGGTTGTTTTCAATAATTTGCTATTAAGAACAATGCTGCAAAAAATAACTTGGAACATTTAATATGTTACGCTTAGTTTTCTATCCTCCATAGTACTTTACTAGGCACACAACAGGCACTCAAGAAACAGTTTATTAATAAAGCAACCATTATTATCAACTCTAAACATTAAAATTAAATTCTTATAGCAACTTCTGAAATGGTCTTACACAAGAGAATTTCTACTGGTTACAATATTTTATTTAAATTCTAGGATGTCATTTTGAAATGTGGCATATATTTAAATCAATGATTTTGTTTTGCAGCATCTTAAATTTTTCCAGGAACCCTCCTAGCATTATTAACTGGATCACTGTGTACAGAGATAGCAGGATCTTTTAAACAGCTGTTTGTTTCATATCACCAGGATGAACCTGAATTTGAACTAGTATATCATAAGAGAAGAGAGATGATAAAAACACTTGCTAATACAGACATTCACAAGTTTTCATTTGTCATTTTTACCCTGAGAAATATCAAGGTAGTGTAAATAAGAACTTTGAAATTTGTTCTACCTGTTAAAATATAGATATAAGAGGGTTCCTGTTAGGAAATATAGTGATTCTCACATCCTTATGCAATACAAGGCCATTATTTGTTGTTGTCAGGTAGTAATTATTTTAAAAAACCAAGAAGAGTCCAGTGTAAACACAAGTCAGTAGTTTGACAAGTAAAAATATCAAAGTAGTTAATGAACTGGTTAGTACATAGTTATTAATATATCCTTGGGAAGATAATTGTAAGTGTTTATCACATACATTTTTTTATCCTCAATTCAATCAAACTTTTTTCTCAGAGCTGTGGGTGACAAAGATAAGTAGGACAAAGTCTCTACCCTCTAGAAGTTTGCTAAAAAAAGAAGAGAAAGTGGAGGAGGGGAAAACATGTTCACCAATGGTAGTAATATAAGACAGAAAGGTTAAGAGCTGGGAAAAGAACAAAGTGTCATGGAACCAAAAAGGAGGAATGGAGTGTTGAACTTGGCCCCTAGGCCCTGGGCCTTCACATTTGCTATTCTCTCAGCCTGAAGTGCTCTTTCCCCATCCAAGCATGGCTAACTCTGTCACAGGGCCCCAGTGGAAATGCCACACCCTCAGAGAGCCTAACTCATGATGCCCCCCACCCCCACCACTCTCTTCTCACTGCCTTGTTTTAATGTTTAGAACATGTTCTCATCAGAAAACATCCTATTTTAACAGCAGGGACCTTACTGCTTATTAACTTCCCTGTTTCCTATACTTATAAAGGGGATTAGCACAAAGTAGGTGCTTAATATTTTCTCAAAAGACAAATGAGTGAGATATAAGATGTTATAACACTACACTCCTTCAAGTAAAGACTCCTTATTCTCACATAACCCATTTGCCTCATGGGTGAGAGTCACGGTTGCAGTCTTTCTAGCTATTCCCTGCTTCTTCAAAATCACTTCCTTTCCACCCTGCAGTAAAAATCCTTGCTCACTGGGGTTCATACAAACTGATCCTTCCATCTTCTACCCACTGTCTCTCTTGGGCACATCTCAGTCTGCTGATCCTACCCCAAGTCCTACCATTATCCTGGGTGACATCAATATCCATTTGGGTTTAACAGTTCCCTGTCTACCTTATTTCCAGTGACCTTCGTCATCACTTCTATCATCCTCCTTCAAGGCCAATGCTAGAATTTCTCCCCATCTAATTTCATCAGTTTAGGTATTCCACTCTTATCTTTCCAGCTCTTTCGCCCAGTTACTCGTACTAGACCTCACAAGAACCACCAATTCCATGATCCTACTTTCTTTTTATCTATCAGCCCCCTCTTGTCTTCACTTCTATTGAGCTTATTGTCCATTGTCTACAACTTCCTTTTCTATTCATAAGGTTCATTCCAGTTCTGTGCTTGGGGGTCACATGGCCTTCTACTTTCTTAGCACCCTCCTCTAACCATAATTCTTGTTTTTCTGTATATTCAATTCCTTTCTCTGCAGTCAGCCTTAAAACATGGTCAAAACTCCCCCATCTCCCACCCTTGACCTCAACATCATCTGTGGATCCTCTCCATCTTTTTTCTTTTCTTTGGCTGCCATCACTTCCCCACTGCCCCACCATTCTCAATCTTCTGAAATATGGCTTTGGCCTCCAGTTCAAATGAAACTGTCCCCACCAAAAGCACTAACAACCTCTTTGTCACAAAGTCCAATGGGCATAATTCAGTCCTAATTGTACATAAACTTTCACAGCATCTAATACTGCTGACTCTTTCCTCCTTAAAACACTCTTCCTTTGGCTTCCATGACATCACATTTTTTAACCTTCTTATGACTCTCTTAGCTCCTCCTCTCCCACTGCATTCTTCTTCCTTTGATCATTCCTTATAGGTTGGTATAGGGTTCTGTCATAGGCCCTCTTCCCTGCTTACCTTATACCTTTCCCCAGGTGATTTCATCTACTCCAGTGATTTCAATCACTACTTACAAGCTGAAGACTCTTAAATCCATATTTTTACCTCTTTCCTGAACTTCAGACCCCATATATCCACACTTCCTACTGAACAACTTTGCCTAAATGATCCACAGCACCGGAAATTAAAAATGTTCAAAACTGAGCTCGTCACTTTTCCTCTAAAACCTGTTCCTTCTATCCCATTCCCTATCTCATGTCATGACACCAACCCTACTTGGTTACCAAAGAAAACTAGATATCAGCCTTGACTCCTCCTTCTCCCTCAGCCTCATTCCTTCCTGCCCCATAAGTAAGCAGTCACTAAATTGTGAGAATTCTACCCTCTAAAAAAATTCCTCAAATCCATCCACTTCTCTGTCTCCCCGCTGCATCCCAATCTAAGCCACCATCATCCTTTTTTAAGATTACTGCAATAGCTTCATAACTGGTCTCTCCATCTCTAACTTGAGCAACCCTCCAAGCTATTTCCTACACTGCTTCTAAAGAGAATCTTCCTATAATAAAATGCAAATTTAATCCTGTTATTTCCCTAGGTAAAACCTCTCAAGGCCTTTTCATTGTCTTTTCATCAAGTCCAAAAAACTTACTTTGGCTTACGTGGCCTTTTGTGATCTGGCTTATACTTACCTCTCTGGCCTTTCTCTTGGTACCCTTCTTTCTCATGCTCTCTATTCCAGGGTTACTGAACTTCTTCTCTGTCCCTGAAAACAACAGCCTTTCTCTTGCTTCTGGGCATTCACACATAACATTTTTAAAAAAAATCTGAGCACTTTTCTGTCTGCTCCCTTCCCACCTCCTTCAGAGTAAAACTTCAATATCACTCCCTCCAAGAAGCCCTTCCTGACCCTCCAATCTCCAAATGAAACAAAGCAAAACAAACTTGGAGTAAGGGTATCATCTCCTGTGCACTCCTATAACACCCTACACTTCCTCATCAAAGCACACAATACAGTGTACTATAGCTGCTTTTTTTCTCTCCACTCTCTGCCCCTTAGATCATAAGCTTTATGTGAACAAGAATCTCTTGTACCCCTCCAACTATAGCAATTCCATGACCTGAAACAATGCTTGATAAAATGATAGATGGCTAAAAATTCTTTTGAGTAAATATCGAAATAACAAACCACATCAGTTGTGTGGAGGAGGGTGGGAAGAAATGGCATTAGAGAAGAGGTGGTATGTGAGTTGGGACTTAAGATATGGGTAGGTCTTTGACAAGCAGAAATGAGGGAAAATCTGTCACACACAGAGGAATTATATAAACAGAGACAAGAAAGATGTGCCTCCAAGGTCAGGTTCATGAGGGTATATGAAGGAGATCGAGAAGAAAATAAAATTGGAAAGATGGATTATAGATCCACATATTTGAATTAGGTGCAATTATTTTTGCAACTTTATTAATATGATAGCCAAAATGTTACCAATTAAACTCTAAAGCATACCAAAGAGGGACCAATACAGTTTTTTCCTAAATAAATGTGATAAAATGCTTCCTATACATGGTGTCAGACTTAAAGCATTTTTTTTTACCTTGTGCTTTTTCAGTGTATCCAGATCATGAGCAGCATCTTGTGACCCTATAAGAAATAAATCATATCACCTTGAACATAATCATCCTGACTTTTTATATAAATTTGTGCAACAATTCTGAGTTATTCGTTTAGTTTTTTAAAAACCCAAAAATGTAGGAGGACCTCAGTCCAACTTTCTGAAGGGTAATTTGGTAAAATTCCTCAAAAAATATTCATCTTATGCTTGCTCTTGAACTCTGAAATTGTGCTTCTAAGAATTTGTCCTAACAGTTATAGATGTTGCAAAGATTTGCTATAAGGATTTTTATCATGCTATTGTTTGTAATAAAAAAAAACAAAGCCAAAACAAACAAAAAAACAACTAAAGCCCAATAATAGGGGTTGGGTTAAATAAAAGATGGTACATTGTAGAGTGAAATATATATAACCATCAGCACCATTAGAAATAAGAAGTGGGGAAGAATATTTATGGCATGAAAATATGTTCTCAATATATTAGGTGATAAAAGCAGTTATAAAATACCATCATTCATTTTTATAAAAACAAAAAATATGCATATAGTTAAAAATGGACAAGAAGTATATAGAACAAAATGTTAGCAGTGGGGTTGCAGGTGGTATTTTTCTTTATGCTCATTTGGATTTTTTTTTACAATAAATATCTCTTTCTTTTGTAACTTAAAAAAGGGTATTTTATGAAAATCAGACAACCACAAGATGACTTAGTTCTAGCTGATCTGGGAATACCCAGTAGCTTAGAGCAAATGCTGTTGGTCTGTAGAATCCGGCCCACACTCCATGTACCACTAGGGCTGTGTCCTTCTGCAGTCCTTCCTGTTGCAGTCGGCTTCCCAGATCTCCCACACTTGGAAACCTGCTCTAGTTAATAAGCAAGTTCATATGGGAGAATAACTAGGTAAAGTATGCAAGTTTCAAAATTGAAAAAACAGGGCATTTATATTTAAAGATTTTAAGCATTTTACTCTCCTGAATTAGGTTCCATTTCATAAATGGTGTTTTTCTTACCTTTCCTATCTGAGAAATCGGCCAACTTTTATCATGTTATTTTAGGTAGCTAAAAGGCCAGCAAATATGCTATTTGGCCAATATCCTCTTGTTAATACCAAGCTGACAGGCTCCTTACTGAGCCTACATTCGGCTTTATTCTCCTTAAAATTTAAGTCAGCACAAATGGACTTCAGGTAATCAGCTTTGTGTTTTTCACCTAATACTTAGTAGTATTAAGTTCAAGTTAATTCTGCCTACAGTCTAAACGTCAGCTTTTCTCCAATTTTAAGTAGATGATTTATGTTGCAGTCTATGATAAACATTTTAGTTTTTGAGACAGATTCTCACTCTATCGCCCCTGGATAGAGTGCAGTTGCATCATCATAGCTCACTGCAACCTCAAACTCCTGGGCTCAAGCAATCCTCTTGCCCCAGCCTCCTGAGTAGCTGGAACTACAGGCACGCACCACCATGCCCACCTAATTTTTTCTATTTTTAGTTGTTTGGCCAATTTCTTTCTATTTTTAGTTGAGATGGGGTCTTGCTCTTGCTCAGGCTGATCTCTAACTCCTGAGTTCAAGCAATCCTCCAGCCTCTGCCTCCCAGAGTGCTAGGATTACAGGCATGAGCCACCGCACCCGGCCTGACAGATTATATTTTTACTTTACCAAACCCAAAAGTTTGACACCCCATGCTGGGAGAAGCTGTGCTGCTTTGAGGAGGTGAAGGAAACTCTTAAAATCAACCAGCAAACAACCCCAATCTCTCCAGTCTGGTCAGAAACAACCCCTTCATCACTCATGTGGAAGAACTTTAGGTGTCAGCATTCATGATCCTAAGGAATAAGGCACTCGTAACCACGCAGAAAAAGGTTCGTCTTTCAGAAGAAAGGAGCTTGCGCCTGATGAAAATATCCCATTTCCTGGTCCAGGGAGAAGAACCTTATTAGGACTAGTTTCAGAAATCCCTCCCAGGATTCTCCCAGAATCCTGGGGAGGGTTCCAACCCTAATCTGAGAACACTTTGGATAAATCCACATTAAAAAATAACATGAAGACACTGAATTGGTGAGTAATTAATGAAAATTCTGCCATAATTATTTGAAACCAGTATTACCACAGTGGAAGCCAAGTAACTGAAAAATGTACCTGGACATATTTTCTTTCCTAGATATGGTGAGCCAAACCTGGGTGAATTAGCTAAATGACTCACAATTTTTCACTGTTAATTTGGCAAAATATGGTATAATTTTTCATTGGGCTGCATTTACTACTTGGAGATATTTATTTGGTGAATTTAAAGATAGCACATATAATAATTCCTATAATACATAATACAATAACTCATATGTATACCGTAATCAACTTGTGTCAAAAACCTTTCACAACCACCTCAGGACAATCCTGAAATAGGCAGATACTGTTACTTCAGCTTTACAAATGGCTTTTTGGAAGACCAGAGAGGATAAATGACTTGCACTAGCTAATCTAGTATATTAGAGGCAAAGCAGGGTTTAAAATTTGGTCTACATGAAGCAGTCTAGCATAATGATGGAGAGCAGGATTCAGACATGGGCTTGATGTCCAGCTCTGTTAATTACTAAGTTTGTTACCTTGTGCAAATTACATAACCAATCTTAAATCCCAGTTCCCATTTATAAAATGAAGCCAATGATCCCTACTTCACAGGGTTCTTCAAAGGAGTGAGATGCTGGGTGTACTTCACATAGTACCTGGCTATTTCTGACTCTCAGTTCAGTGTTCTCTCTACTCAAGAATGCCATCCTTGGATGCATAAATATCGACAAGTCATTTAGTCTTTCCAAGTCTTAATTTCTCTATTAATAAATTAAAAATAATTCAGACCTACTTGAAAACATTGTTGGCTATTTTTTTAAGAACACAATACCATATTCTTACCAAATTAAC